GAATAGAATACCCAGAAAAAGAACATTAAAGAAATAGAGCACTTGACTAACACTGTACATCAAATACAACTGAAAAATATACAGAGAACAGTCCACCTAACAGCTGCAGAAAACACATGTTTTATTTTCTCAAGCAGACATAGAACATTTTCTGTATTAGATTATATAAGCTCCAAAAATAAATCTTGGACCACTTGCAGGGATTCAGCAGTAATATGATACACTATGATGCTGAATCCACATGAACAGTCTGGGTTTGTGTCCCAAGGTCTTTCTGCACATGCCAGGTGCACACATGTGTGTCTGTGATCTAAGCTGACTGGGGCCATAGAGGGGGGGGAGCATGCAAATGGCATAAAGACCCCCTCTCTTCAGAAAAAGATAAGTAAATGAACTTTAAAAAAATCTTTAATTCTCTGGGGCCAGCAAGTGGTGTAGAGGTTAAAGCACTGGACTCCCATGTGACTGACCGCAGTTCAAGTCCAGTATGTGGTGGCTTGAAACTCATGGTGAGCATGTGGGTATGAATGCCTGAAAAGCTGAGAGGAGAATGGAGGAGAAGGGGTTGTAGAGTGCCCATTTCTCCTGGAGGGTGATTTCTCACTTCTGTCTGTCTGGTGAGCACATGCACTCTAAAGCAAAAATCTCTCTAAAAACAAAAACAAAAACCTTTAAGTCTCAATAAAATATTTAAATAATACAACAAATAATACCAAATAATAAAAATATATTTTTCAGCCACAAATGTAAATTAGAAATCAAGGCAGGAGAAAAGCTGGAAATTTTCAAAATTACAAAAGATCATGAGAGGAAACCAGCAGTTAGCGTAATGGCTATGTCTCTGGACTCCCACATAGTTGACCGCAGTTTGCGTCCCGGACCCGGTGGCTTAAAACTCACGCTGGGCGCGTGTGCAGGCATGCCCAAGATCCCGAGAGGAGAATGGAGAAGGGATTGTGGCTGTGACCATCTCCTCTGGGGGGTGATTTCTCGCTTTCTGTCTCTATGTCTCTGTCTGGCGAGTGCATGCGCCCTATAGTGAAAACCTCTCAAAAAAAAGAAAATCATGAGAGAATACTATGAATGACTTTAAACCAACAAACAAGAAAACCTAAATGAGATAGATAGACTTCTAGACACATATAATTTACTTAGATTGAACCAGGAAGAAATTAAAAAGCCTGGATAGACCAATAAGAAGCAATAAGGTTGATCAGAATAGTCTCCCGAAAAGGAAAAGGCCAGGTCTTGATGACCTACTTCTCTTCTAGAAAACTTTGAAGGAATAATTAACCTTAATCTCCTCAAACTATTTCTAAAGATCCAAAAAGAAGGAGCCCTCCCAAATTTATTCTATGAAGCCTCCATCATATTGATACCAAAAGCAGACAAGTATATAACAAAAAAAAAAAACAACAACAAAGAGAGAGAGAGAGAAACTTCAAGCCAATATCCCTGATGAATACAGATACAGAAATCCTCAACAAGAAACTAGCAAATCTAGTCCAACAGTACATTAAGAGTATTATATGTCATGACCAAGTAGGCTTTATCCCAGATATGCAAGGATGGTTCAACATATACAAAACAATGAATGTAATACATCACATTAACAGAGGGAAAGATGAAAACAATATGATCATATTAATTGAAGAAAAAACATTGATAAAAATACAACACCCCTTCATGACTAGAACTGAAGAGGCATTTCTCAACACAGTAACAGCCATATAAGACAAACCCATTGTTAACATCTTACTGAATCGGAAAAACTTGGAAACTTTCCATTAAAAACTGGAAGAAGACAAGGTTTCCCACATTCGCCATTCCTTTTAAACATAGTACTGGAAGTCCTAGTCAATGCAATCAGGTAAGACAGTAAAATTACAAAGCACTCAAATAGAAAAAGAAAAAGGAAAAATCATATTTACAAATGACATGAATATAGGCATAGAAATTCAAAAGAATCCACAAAAATCTCCAATAAATGATAAGTGAATTCAGTAAAGTGACAGAAGAGAATCAATATACAGAAATCCATAGCATTTTTATATACCAATAATGAACAGACTAAGGCAGAATCAGAAAGACATGTCCACATCCACATTTATTGAAGCATTATTCACAAATGCTAAGACACTTAATCTAAGTGCCCAAGAACTGATGACTACGTTGAACAAATTTGGCACATGTACACTACGGAATATTAGTCATAAGGGACAATGAGACTGTCATTTGCTATTAAGTGAATTAATGTAGAAGATTTAATGCTAAGTGAAGTAAGCCAGACTATGGAAGACAAATGTATATTCCTGCTCAATATATACCAAATGTCTGCACTCTATGGCAGAAATGGAAAGATCCAAATATAAAACAGTAAGGAGGACAAGTGTAGATATCAGGACTGTATGTGAGGGATGTGGAAATTTGTGGGTGTGTGGGAGGGGCTCAGGAAAGAAAAACTTAGTAGACCAAAAACAGTAAAGTTTCCTGGTGAAAATGATGCATATGGTAATATCTTTGATTTGATCATCACATATTGCATATATACTTTGAAAAACCATATTGTGTGCTTTAAAGATGTACAGTTAAATGTGAATAAGAAATCATGACTTCAAAAAGGGTCATTTGCCTTTTCTTGAGTACATCAAGGAAGAAGGGTGCTAAGGTGATTGTGTTATATACCCTGAGGGTAGTGACTGATTTGTGGAGTGTAGTTGGGGACAACTATGAGGCAGAAGGAGGCAGCCTTAGGTCTTGGGGCTTGCAGCATAAGAGGAAGGCTGTAGTAGTGGAAAGGCTGTAGTTCCTGCCTCTAAGTGAAGTGCTCAAAGAGAGCGTCAAAGACAACCCATGAGCGCTAGATAATTACCCAAATGTCTCTTAAATATAACCTCCTCAAGATTATAAAGTATATTAAAATCAATATAGTCCAGATGAATTCACTCACTACCATATTTTACCTTTCTTTCTTTCTTTTTTTCAGGTTTTTGCAATAGGGCCCATATGCTCATCAGAGAGAGACAGTAAGAAGGAAAGTGAAGTGAAAAATCTCCAATCAGCAGGAGGGCCATACCGCAATCCCTTTTTTTCTATTCTCTTCCTTGGATTTTGAGCATACATGCATAAATGCATGCATTCATGCACGCATGAATTTCAAGCCACTGAATCTGAAACTCTTGAGAGTCCAATGCCTTAAACACCATGCCACCTGCTGGACCCTTGCTTTCATTTCTTAAAGTTATTCTTTTAAGCTAGAGTGCAAATAATAGTCTCTCATCATACAGTCAAATACTGAAATCTGGGAGGCATCCTAAAGTTTTTGTTTCCTCAACTCCCTCATTCTAGCAATTCTCCCTATCAATTCTATGTCCTAAATAGATCTTAAATATTTTCAGTCATATATTATCTGCTCTGTTATTTATTTATTTTATACCTTCAATCACATTATTTAACTTACAAAGTGAACAGTTCAATATGTGAACATTTCTCCTTAATCTAGTTGATTAAAATATCTTCAACAGAAGATCCCACTACCTCCCCGTCCCGACAATGCTCTGTTTCCATATCCCTCCTCCAAATGTCCTTCCCCAGGCCCCACTCCTCCACACACACCACATCTGGCAATTACACCCATCTCTTGTGTTTGTACATCCTTTAGTCAGTCAGTTTCAGTCATAGAGTGATGACACTCAGTATATATTAAGTGGGGACATACAATGTCTTTCCTTCATAGCCTGGCTTGCTTCACTCAGCAGTAAATCTTCCATATTCTTCCACTTTCTGTCTAAAGCCAGAGTTTTGTTGTTTTTTTATGGCTGAATAGTACCTGCTCTATTATTACTCTAAGTTTTCATTGTATTCTTCCCTGATGATTTATGTATCAGCATATTTATATTTGTTTATAAATGCATATGTTTATGTAGTTATATATTTGTGCATATGTAGAATAGTCATGTATGTATATATCCATACACCATTCTTACAGATATACACGTGTTATACATATACACAGTCATAGGTTATACATGTGTGTGCATCTGAACATATGCACATGTACATATGCTTATATATATATATGCAACCATACATGAATAACATGCAATTATTCATAGATGTATATGAATACTTTTAAAATATATAGCTATATATTATATATATATATGAACATTATTAAAATATGTAGCTATATATTATACTTATGTGTTACATATTATCTGTTATATGTAAATGTTATTGTATATTACATTAGACAAGTATATATGAGTGGTCTTCAAAAATTTTATGGAAAATATATATTATGAAAAAACTGCATAGAGTTCAAAGTTTTCTTGCACCAAAATGAACTTCTATCTTAATCCGTTTTTGCATGACCTTTTTGAAGTTTTCTCATATATACTTTAAAAATATACATATTTCTTAAAATTACACTGGCATAATCTTACCTTTGTTTCTCTCTCTCTACAGCTCGCCTCTTACCATATCCACCCATCCTATATTCCTTTACAGCCGCAGTAAACCACTTGAAGTCTTTTGAATTCACCTTCTTTTCTCATGTGTTTCCTTTCTGCTTAGAAAGCCCTCTGTTCCTTTACTTCACTGTGATAACTGTTCATTCAAGAGAAGCCTTGTTTTAAGCCGTTGTTTCTTTCTAAAGCCTTCCTTAAAGGACTAATCTAAATTTTGTGCCCTTTATTTGTGCTTCCAAACAAAACTTTCTTCCTTTCCTTACTAAGAACAGGTACAGCATTCAAAAGAAATGTATCAGTCCTTTATTCAGCATCAGTTAGACAGACTACATAAATCACACCGTTTTGCTTCCTTTAAGAGCAAGGCAAGTCAGGTCAGAACTTGTGTGATGCCAGGTACTATAATTAAAATTGAACAGAGTTCCACCCACAAGTTGAAACAAACAGTCCCCTGGAATTTCCCCTGGAAACAAAAACATGGGTCAGAGGCAGAATCAAATGCCCAGAGTTTCACAGCCGAGAAGAGACTTTGATAGGTGATAGTTTGCCTGATCTCTCTAACTCCAACATAGTTTTCCCTAGCTACAGGAAAACTACAGAAGCCCTGTTGGAAATTCAGGTGACTCAACTGGGACTCATTCTGTAGAGACAACAGAGAGCTGAACTGGGATCTCCAGGCTCAAGTAAGTGAAGAGTTTAGGGACACAGTTTTTTCTTTATGGATAGACTTCACTTCTTCCATCTTTTTCTCTTCCTTGTGACTTCTGGGAGCCCTCCTGTCCCTACATTTCTAGAGACATGTCAGACCTATATCTGAAGACCCGTAAGGCTTGTGAGAAATCTGGATCACCTCCAGGAAAAAAAATTTCTTGATGCTTCTTTGTGGGTCAGTTGAAACTTACTATGTAGGATTATGTCCCATCAAATATTAGGATCTGTTTCTGGAGTTCAGTTTAGTAACAAGTACGGAAAATATTGTTCCTATGCGTGATATTACTCAGGCACATAGTAGTGAGACTAGTGCCCACTGGTTGCAGGATCGCAACAGACTGCCTGTTCTCTAATGTAGCTTGTTAAGATTAACAAAATTAGAGAAATATCTCATGGCGGAATCCTCGTGATTGGTTTAATATTATGTCTGTAAAATTATTGGCTTTGAAAATATGACATGAAAGCTTTCATAAAAATATTTTAATTCAATTATCCTTAACAGGCATGGAGAGTATAGAAGAAACACTTCAATTTTCCCTAAAATAAACACACAACAGGAAATTCATGGATTAGATATTTTCTATAATATCAGGAAAATTTCTGTGATCATACTGGATTAAAGATACACATCTCTTCTTTTGTGATCTGATTCACTTTTCTGGCAGTTTGGATATGATTTCTATTTACATTTATAGTCCCTTATTGGCATATTTACTTTTTTGGAACATTTAAAAATTTTTTGGTAAAATATATTGGGTCATTGGGAAAGTCATGACACATTTTTCCATAGAAAATTTGTCATGGCACACCCAATGACCTTATATATAACATACAATTTAAGATATTTATAATTTTAAGTGTGCCCTTCTGTATTATTAACTCAATCACATTATTGAGCAACTATCACCACCATCCATCTCCAAAATTTTTTACTTTTTTTTTTTTTTTGAGAGATTTTCACTGTGGGGCGCGTGCGCTAGCCACACAGACAGAGAGAGACAGAGAGACAGAAAGCGAGAAATCACCCCCCAGGGGGGATGGTCACGCCGCAATCCCTTCTCTTCCATTCTCCTCTCAGGATCTTGGGCACGCACGCACACACGCCCGGTGTGAGTTTTAAGCCACCGGGTCCAGGACACGAACCGTGGTCGACTACGTGGGAGTCCAGCGACATAGCCATTATGCTAACTGCTGGTTCCCCCATCTCCAAAATTTTTTCATCCTTACAAACTGAAACTCTGTACCCATTAAACACTAATTCCTCGCATTGTTCAAATATCTTTAGAACTCACATAGTTTACAGTGAGAAATGTGTACATTATCAAGATTGTCACTTGAGTGAGATTAATATGTGTGGATTCCTTACAGTAAAGTTTCAGTGGACGTTTCCTATAACGTCTTCATTCCTATTACTCACTATTTAAAATATCCACATAGCATTATGACCCATCAAATGTTGGGGTCTGTTTCTGGAGTTTAGTTTGGCTTCCATTCCAACTTTATTGCAAATTCTCTTTGGAGTGGTGTGGAGAGTAAATGTAATAGACACCCAGAACCTTTGCATCTTACCAAAGAGCCCTGTCACAGTTAGGCTTGTTCTTCAGCAGGGTAAAAAGCTTGCATCTTTGCCAAAGGGTATCCCAATCCTACAAGCCACATATCCCAATGAATATTAATTTGGCCATATTTTCTTCCTAAAACCTAGGCCATTGTCATTCATATAAAGTATCTGGGGCAAAACAAAAAAGGTCATATTTTAAAAATATAAATTACAACTGTTATAGACTAGCTGGTCATAAAAATCTAAACAGGTAATTATGACTGCCTTCTTCCACTGCCCATTCTATGTACTCCATTACTTCAATGAACAACTTAGGTACATGAGATCTTTAGCCTGATAGGAGCCTTCAAATCTTTATTTCTGTGTGTCTGTTCCTTTATCAAGTTGTTTCCATATTCCATGAACCAGGACTATTTGTCAAGACACTTTTTTAGCCCTTAGATCAGTCTCTATAGTCCTCCAGTGAGTCACTTTTCTGATTCTTGGTTTGGTGGTATGAAAAGTTCAAACTGGACAGAGGGGGCAGTCTAGCTTCCAATTTCTCATATCCATAACATTGCCCCATGGTGGAAATATTGAGTCATTGGAAAAGTCATGATGCCCTTTTGCATAGATAAAATACACTATGATTTTTCCAATGACCCAATAATTCCTCAGTACTCTAGAACCTCAAAAACAAATGGTAAAAGACATGAAGATTATCAAAGGAGAAGCAAAATTCTTCAAGTAGGTTATAAAGTCATGTAGTGAGATGATCACCTCCCATATCTACTCCTTGCTTTCCAGGCCTGTGTCTTCTGCCACAGTGGCTTAAGGTACAACTAGCTAGGAACATCTCATAGGGCTAGGGTCCTGCCTGGGACTACGTAAAGATTTATCATTTCAGCTGCATATGGGTCATGGGCACATGGTAAGACTAGTGAATTTCCTAGTCTTGAGGTCATTGTTATGCTTTCTTTGCTATACAATTTATCTCCTGGTCAGCGACAATGTTGTATGGCATATCATTGAAATAAAAAAGGAATTTATATGTATGTTAATGTTGTGTATGAAAGAGTACTGTTGGCAGAAAGCCATATTCAGTGATAGAGATTCTCTTGTGAGAACAAACTAGGATCCTATGTTGGATGCTATCCACTCACTTACCTATCTCCTGAAAATATAAAGTTGAACACTCAGTAGAGGTTATAGCCAAATCATCCAGATTGCAAAGACATTCATGTTGTTGATCCCACATGTACCTTCTTTATGTGGACTTGAATGTCCCTGCATCATGTCTCAGGGCCCCAGGCTGAGCTCGAGTGTTCCTTAACTTAAGTGACGTTGTGAGTTATGCATTTAGTCATTGCTCAAATTCTGCAACTCTTAAGATCAGAACCTGGACTCAGTCCCCATCCACATGTCTTATGACTAGGGAGATGATGAAGAACTATTTCGGAAATGTGGTATAGGGACCAGCTGTTGACGTAATGGCTATGTTGCTGGACTCCCATGTAGTCGACTGTGGTTCGAGTCCCAGACCCAGTGGCTTAAACTCTCACTGAGCATGTGTGTGCCCAAGACCTCCAGAGGGGAATGGAGGAGAAGGGATTGTGGTAGGCCACCCCCCCCCCGGGGTGTGATTTCTTGCTTTCTGTCTCTCTGTCTTTCTGGCGAGTGCACACGTCCTATAGCAAAAGCCTTGCCCAGCAATCCCACTCCTCAGTATCTACCCAAAGGACAGAATTCTTCATTGGAAAAGTGCTTCCACGTAGATGTTTATCGTAGCACTATTCACAATTGCTAAGACATGTAACCAACCCAAATGCCCCCGTACGGATGAATGGATTGAAAAACTGTGGCACATATATTCTATGGAATACTACTAAGCCATAAAAAACAAACTCTGGCTTTTGACAGAAAGTGGAAGAATATGGAAGATTTATTGCTGAAACAAGCCAGGCTATGAAGGAGAGACATTGTATGTCCCCACATAATACCTACCGAGTGTCTGCACTCTATGACTCAAACAGATTGACAAAAGGATATACAAGCACAAGAGATGGGTGTGAATGCCAGATGTGGGGTGTGTGGAGGAGTGGGGCCTAGGGAAGGACATATAGAGGAGGGATATGGAGACAAAGCATTGACGGGATGGGGAGGTGTGGTGTTATCTGTTGAAGATATATTGATCAACTAGACTGGGGAGAAGTGTTCACATATTCAAATGTTCACTTTGTAAGCTAAACAACTAGACTGGGGAGAAGTATTCACATATTGAAATGTTCACTTTGTAAGCTAAACAATGTGATTGAATGTCTATATAAAAAATTTTTTTTTGAGAGATTTTCACTGTAGGGCGCGTGCGCTCGCCAGACAGACAGAGAGAGACATAGAGACAGAATGCGAGAAATCACCCCCCAGGGGGGATGGTGACGCCGCAATCCCTTCTCCTCCATTCTCCTCTCGGGATCTTGGGCACGCACGCACACGCGCCCCGCGTGAGTTTTAAGCCACCGGGTCCGGGACACGAACCGCGGTCGACTACATGGGAATCCAGCGACATAGCCATTACGCTAACTGCTGGTTCCCTATAAAAATTTTTAAAAATAAATCAATTAATTAAAAAAAAAAGTCGCCCCCCCCCAAAAAAAAAGAAACAAAGAAATGTGGTGTATATTTCCTGGTTCTTCCCACGTCTCTAAGTTGCAAATTCATAGCTTCCTGACACATCATTACCCTGAACTTTTCCTTAAGTCCATCACCTAGGACAGCCAAAAAAGCTAAAAGTCTTTGTGGACCTCATATCTGCCATTATGTTGCAGAGTGAATTGCTTTCCAAGGTCACAAGAGCTATCTGAATACAGATAGGATAACATTTTCACATTGTTATCATTCAACATTCTGTTCACTTTTTTATAACCCTAGCACCCAGGATGTTTTGGTTGGTTGGTTGTTTAAAGAGAGAGAGAGAGAGACAAAGCAACAATTGTCACTTTTATCCTCTGAGTCACAAGCCAAACCATTATGAACCAATGAAAAACCTTTACGTTTGACTGAGAAAGACAGTCTTATTTTTTTTCTCTGTTTTTTTATTGGCCATTTAGGTTAACATATTTGTCTTTAATAAAGAATTCTCCAGGAGAAAATTCAAAGAAATTGCTCCAACTGAAGGCAAAAAAGTCATGTTATTTTCTAAAAAAGCTACTGGGTTTTTCCCATCAGAATAATTAAGATAAATCTCTGTCTTTAAACTTTTCTGGGTAGTTAAATGTAATTGAATATTGTTGATACTTACCCTGCCAAGTTTTTGGTGATCTGAACCCATCCCTAGATTCTTCCAGAAGTTCATCTGGTGCTACTTTTTTTTTAAGGTTTTTGCCATAGAGTGTGTGCACTCGCCAGAGAGAGAGTGAATGATAGACTTAGTGAAAAGAAAAGTGAGAAATCACTACCCAGGGGGGCTGGCCATGCCTCATTCCTTCTCCTTCATTCTCCTCTTGGGATTTGGGGCACTCATACACATGTGCCTGGTGTGAGTTTTAAGCTACTGGATCTGGGACTCAAACCACGGTCAACTAAATGAGAGTCCAGTGACATAACCATTACACCATCTGCTGATCCTGTCTGAAGTTTACTAAATCTGAAGACAAGCCACATCTAGCCTTGGACAAAGCAATCTTTTAATGAGAAGTAAGTTTCTAATGGAGTTAGTCATAATATTGAACATCTGTAAGAATAGGATTTCCAGATTTAGCTAATAAAAATTACAGGATGATAAATTTTGCATGGGAAACACTTGTACTAAAAAATTAGTCATTGTTTATCTGAAATTAATTGAGAGTCCATATTTTATCTGGCAACTCTACTAAAGAGTTTTTATTACTGTGGGAAGATATAAAGATATGTGATTTACTCCTGTTATCACTGTTACTCCTTACTTATTCCAGTTATTCCTGTTTCTGAACCTGCCTCATTTCTTATTACAGGTCCTAATGGAAACTATGGGACTATCTTTCTCCAGATACTTTACTGTTATCTACTTCTTTCAGATGGTAACACCAAGTTCAGGTATGGATCTCTCTCCTACTCTTATGAGCTTTGAGCAAAATCAAGTAAGCCAGAAAAGCAAGGACCAAACAAGCTCTTTGCCTATTGTTCCTTGTGTTCAATACACAGTTATGTAACGAGGACATGTGCAATTGGACCCAGTTATGATTAGGAGAAATTGATTATATCTAATCAGAACGTCTCCTTTATCATGTCCCAGATTTGTGTTAGGTCCCAGGAAGAAACAACAAATAAAAAAGACCTAATACTTATTCCCAAGAACCCAATATTGAGAGTATGTGATTTGAATTTCTTTTTCTCTAAGCTACCTGCTTATGTCCTCACTCTATGTGTCCTTTGCATTATGAGTTTTTGTTGTTGTTATTGCTTTTTAAAAATAACTTTTAAATATTAAGAATTAGCTTTTGACCTGTTATTTCTGTTCCTTGTATTTCTAATCAGTTTTTAATTCAATGGACTTGTTAACTATATTGTACTTGCTGATCCTGTGCATCTATACCATCACATGCTGTGAGGACTATCTCCTTTCACAGTCTTGTTAAACTGGGCCCTTGGTTGTTTATTTTCTTATTGTTGAATTTTAAGAGCTCCTCTTATATTATTTTTTCAAATTCCTTTTATGTTTACAAAACATTACAAACATTCATTTTGTAATGTTTACATGGTGAAGAAAAGGAAATAGAAAGGTGTGTTTGATCAGTTCTCTTTAAATTCTTATACTTTGAAGGTTATGGTAAAAATAGTTACTTTCAAAAAATAACACAGCCTGAACACAGAAGGGGCATAAAACCAAAAACAGTGCTCAGAAAAGTCATTATGTAGTTATGTGGTTATTTTTCTAGTAATATTTTTAAAATGGATACATTACTTCCACATGAGAAATAAGCCTCATGTTTGAATGAATTATTAAAACAAAATGTGCCCCCAAATTGTATTCTGGCTAGTATTATACACTACTATACCAGGCTGTGTTAAATCTGACAATTATGACACTTAACCAGCTTAAATTGAAATCATAATGGAATTTTCAGTGAGATTTTGGTTAGGAGAGCAACAAATGAGCTTAATGCTGATGCAAATTTTGAGCACTAGTGTCACTAATTTACAGATGAGGATAGTCTTAATAAGAAGATTCATTTTCCCACTAATAAACTACCCAAATATTTCATATATTTTGGTGGCTTCTATTTTCTTTGTGTGAATTATTATAAGAGGTAATTTGGTGGCGAATTAGAGACTAACAACCCATTCATACAATTTTAATTCTCTTTTCTTGCTGGTTTCAGTTTGCTTCAAATTCTAAAATAATCTTAAATAGCAATGACTAATCTTTTAGGTGAACAAATTTGAAGATAGAAAAATGACAACTTCTGGGACCAGCAGTTAGCGTAATGGCTATGTCGCTGGACTCCCACATAGTCGACCACGGTTCGAGTCCCAGACCCGGTGGCTTAAACTCACGCCGGGCACGTGTGCGTGCGTGCCCAAGATCCCGAGAGGAGAATGGAGGAGAAGGGATTGCGGCGTGATCATCCCCCCTGGGGGGGGTGATTTCTCGCTTTCTATCTCTCTGTCTCTCTCTGTCTGGCGAGCGCACGCACCCTATAGCAAAAACCTCTCCAAAAAAAAAAAAAAGAAAGAAAGAAAAATGACAACTTCTACTGTATTGCTATTTTACGGGCATCAGTTGGTCAGCAGTCTCAATTCTACTGACAGGCTACGAACCAAATCTGAGCACTATTCTTACTGTATGCAAGCATCCACTCATGTTTAGAGTTGAAAATATCAAACACATCTTAGCTTTCTCTCTCTTTGGCAAAACTGTGTGATATTTATATTCTGCATTTATGTCCTTAATCAAATATGTTTTTCTTTTTATAAGAGAGATTTTTTGCTACAGAGTGTGTATGCTCACTGGAGAGACAGAGAGACATAAAATGAGAAATCACTCCCCAGAGGGGATGGCCAAGCTGCAGTCTCTTCTCCTCCAGACTCCTCTTGAGATCTTGGGCACACATGCACACGTGTCCAAGTTGAGTTTTAAGTTGCCAGGTCCAGGATTCAAACTGTGGTAGAATATGTGGGAGTCCAGCAATGTAACCATTACGTCATCTGATGGTCCAAATCAGATGTACTTTTGCAAATTTTTTTCTTAATCTATAGCTTATATTTTTCTTTTCTTAATGAAAGAGTTCATGAAGCAGACATTTAATTTTAATAAATTAACATTTTAAATTTAATGAGTTAATGCTGATTTGTTATACATTTTTAATATATTCTTTTTTATCTGTAGACTAGGAGATAAACTTTTTTTAAAAAAGAATTATTTTGTTTAACTTTTATTTATTTATTTATTTTTCATTTGACCAGAGAGAGACACGAAAAGAAAAAGTGAGAAAGCAAGCTGACAGCTCTGGGACTTGAACCACAGTCAGTCATGTGGAACTCCAGTCCCCTTAACCACCATGCCACCTGCCAGCCACATTTTCAATATATTCTTGACCAGTGTAAAATAAAAAAGTGTACTTGTTTTTATATTATGTAATTCAATAGTTTCTTCTTTTCATGATTCCCAAGTTCTGTATTTGCTTAGAGTTTTCTAAAACATGTTCCAGGATTATAACACACACTCTATTGTATATTTAAAAATAAATCTATGCAAAATTAATTCTTTTTTATTTTATTTTTTAATTTTTTATACATTCAATCACATTATTTAGCTTACAAAGTGAACATTTCAATATGTGAACATTTCCCCCTAGTCCAGTTGATCAAAATATCTTCAACAAGTAACACCACACCTTCCTGTCCTGTCAATTCTCTGTCCCTGTATCCCTCCTCTAAATGTTCTTCCCCAGGCCTCACTCCTCCACACACCCCAAATCTGGCATTCACACCCATCTCTTGGGTTTGTACATCCTTTAGTCAAACATTTTCAGTCATGGAGTGTAGACACTCAGTATATATTAAATGATGACATACAATGTCTCTCCTTCATAGCCTGGCTTGCTTCACTCAGTAGTAAATCTTCCATATTCTTCCACTTTTTTCAAAAGCTAGGGTTTTGTTGTGTGTGTGTGTTTTTGTTTGTTTGTTTGTTTTTTGTTTGTTTGCTTGTTTATGGCTGAATAGTATTCCATAGAGTATATGTGCCACAGTTTTTCAATCCATTCATCAGTACAGGGGCATTTGGGTTGGTTCCATGTCTTAGCAATCATGAAGAGTGCCACAATAAACATCGATGTGCAAGCACTTTTCTGATGAAGAATTCTTCTGTCCTTTGGGTAGATACCAAGGAGTGG